CCCCAAAACCCCAAAACCCCAAAACCCCAAAACCCCAAATATCTAGGTTGAAAAGGTATCTACTCAATGATTTCGTTATTAAAATAACTGAGGTACTCCACTTTGTCCTTAAAATATCGGTTGACTAGGTTCATATACTTTCTGATCTTCAGAATCTCAGTGTAATTTTCAGTGTCTGAATGGAGAAGGTCTTCACATGACTGAATTATACGACCTAGATTCGCCCTCTTCGGCCTAGCTGTCTTGGAGCTCCGCTTTTTATTGCTGAGATCTATACTTGTGGACATTTTATTTGAAGCTTTCAATGGAGATGGAGTCGGAGCTTCAGGTTCTGAGGAGCTTAGACTCGTCACAAAAGAAGATTGATCACTATCTTCCTCAATAATATCATCTTTCTCGTATCCTCTGAATGTAGGTTGCTCTTTTGTGCTTGAAAATTTCTTTGAAGAGAGATTCTCAAGTTTATTTTTAAGTATTTTTGTGTTCTGCCTTTGAAGTGTAAAAGCAACCTCATTGGTGTTTTCTCCATCCATTTTCTCTTGGTCATCATTTCATTCTTTCATTTCAACTCTCATCCTCCTCCTAAATTTGACAGTAGAGATGGTAGGGGCAGGACTAGAGATGGCTGATTTCATGTCGAGAGCACTTCTTGGAGTCTGAATCATTTTATTTACTTTTCTCAAATTTTCTAAAGGTTTAGTCATAAACAATACGGTTTGGGTCCTTTTGTTACAATTCCTGTTTTAGAGTTTGCAAGTCTCTTTCTAAAAAGAGCCATCTTCTTTGTTTTCTCATTTGTCGGAAATTGTTTAACCCTCGAAGATGTAGATTTTTGGCTCTGTAACTTCCTCATAGTTGAGTGTAAATTTACGTTGGACCTGCTAGCTTTGCTACCCACTAAAATATAACTACTCCTTACATTCGACACCTTTAAGATCCGGGAGACTTGCCGCATGGTTCCCTCTGAGAGTGGTGTACATCTTCATAGGACCCTTTTGAGGACCAAGGCAGTCTTTCGAGGTTGTAGAGGAAAAGATTTCTCCTTCCATCATTTTTCCAATCGGAATAGTATCATAGGCCAGTAATCTATTGGCTGGAAGAATATTATTTAGCTGAATTCTTTTGTCCATAGCCCTTGCAGGCCTTCCTCGAGTTTTGTTTAGTCACTGACTTCCTGATAGATGATTTGCTCTGGCTGGGGAGACTAGTGTTCTGGTGAGGGGTTTCTCCAGATGGCATGAAATCTTCAGAAGTGATTGTTATTTTTCTACTGGCTCCGTTGTGATTATTAATAAGTCGGTTCCCCAGCTGGTGGATCTTTCCTACTCTTGGAGTCTTTGATGTATTATTAGACATTTTATTTAGACTGCCTGGACAACTTTAGCCTCACTTCTTCCTGGTCGGTATGATTTAAAGTAGATGTGCTCTTTAATTTGAAATTATTTTGGAATGATAATTTGTTCCTTTGGTGGATTTATTGTGATTCATATATCTTCCTTTTTCCCTAAATAATATAAATTTTGTTGTACCTTCTTCTCTAAAAGTGAATCTCGGGGAGGATCCATAGATCTGTTTATTTTTACTGATCTTCTTAGGTGATGAGATGTTAAATTTATTTAGATTTCTTATCATGAATTTTCTTTAAAGTTCTCTGTATGTTCTGCTTTATGGTTTCCTATTTTTAATTTGGAAATTTACTCTAATAGCTGGAGGAATAAAGGGTACTTGTTTGTTCTTAGACTCATATCTTGCGTTTGCCCATTCTCGAATACTTAAATTAAGATAGGAACTTACCTCCTTTGGAGAAGCCCTTCTTCAAGTCTTCTTTGGAGATGAATATCTTCTGTTTCAATATATGTAGCGTTGAAACCTTTTATTGGCTGCATTTCTTTGTTATTTTTATAATTCAATAAATTATATATATTTTGGGGTTTTGGGGTTTTGGGGTTTTGGGGTTTTGGGG